CTTTCCATTTAATCAAGAATCATTTCACTCCACCTAAACAGAATTGGATGGTTACATGTACACAGATTCAGTTACTATACTAGAACACAAAGTCGGGAAGCATGATACAGCTCTGATGCATAAATTGCATTCTATAACCAGTAAAAACAGTGGAAACACAATCGTCTGGTAAATCAATAAGATACCCTAACAAAGAAATAACTCCACATAAAATACCTTAACACACTCCAGGATTGTAGCTCTGTGCCTCTGAACCGCTTGGGAATCAACAGTTAAGGATCTCATCAGCATGTTTAATGCTACGTATCTGAGAAAGCAAAGCTAAGGTTTATTCTCTTCTGGAAGGTGGTCAGTGGAGAGACAAGAAAGGATTCAGATGAAGTGTGTTATCAATTTTTACAAAATGTCTTCAACATACAATTGTTCCATCCACACACAAAACTGTCAAAACATTTCAGGTTTGGTTTATTTTATCTATATAAACAGCATCTCCTTCAAGTAGAAAGAAAACAGAATCACTGCAAACTAAACATATATGAGTGTAACAACTCTTATCGGCATTCTAGCAAACAAAAATTGGAAAAATACTGTATATGAATAATAAGATGTCAGAGATAAGGTTACAGAAAACTCAAATAAGGATGGTACTCGATAAACACCTGATGTTATTATCTCGGTTGGACAAGAATTTTCCCAAGATATTGATTGCAAGTACTCGTAAACCACCATTTTCTTCGATGCTCATTATCGTTTGAACACATTCGTATAGGATAGCATTGCCTGCATTTTTGTTTGACTCAGTTTTTGATGCCACCTAAGACATTAAAAAATCAAGTGGGGAATCAAAAATGATTATTTGTGAACATGATCCTGACTGATATATATCAAAGCAAACGTAACAAAAAAATCAATGTAGCAAAACCCATAAAGGTGAGAAAAAGGCTTCATTAATAACCATTGTTTGAGATGTAGTTTTTGTGGAATTCTTCTATTAATTTTGGAAAATCAGAAAGAACAAAACAGTATGAAAATAACAAAAAGGAAGTTTTTGAACAACAAATAAAGGATCACAAAGATAACGGAACATGAAAAACCAGGTAATTCAGGCCAACAAAAGCCTTGAGGAAAAAGCTCAACAGACAAAGTACGAACAAACCTGAGCAAGTATATCATTCATACAGTCACTGGCCTCTGCATCGCCTTGGCCCAAAACACGCAACAGTTTGAGCAATCTGATGTGAAGAAATGGATCCGTAATTCCAGCGACGTCATACTCAGGTGAATATGGACTGTTTGCAATATCTCTTAGGGTTTTAACCAAGCCCTCTGTGCATTTCTGTCAATCAGATAAGGAAACCGCTAATTTTCATAAGATTGAAAACACTAAAATCATTTCTGGATACAAGCAAAACTTATGCAAGGGTCCAAGGAAGATCATGAATCTAAAGAGACAAAATGGAATCTGTGGGGATGATATAGATTCCAGATACAATGAAACCATGAGACAGTAGAAGGCTAAGAGTTAAAAAAAGAAGTTTAATGAACAAGTGCAGAGCTAATTTCAGATTCTCCAAGAAAGAAGAAGAGTGCATACTACAACATATAAGGCATCCTAATAATCATTTAACCAAATTGATAGGATATCAGCAAATTACCTTCCGGAAATATTCAAGGGCTTCGGAACTGACTTTACAGATTTCTGTGCAAAGGTGAACTCCCGTAATGAGAACACCATGATGCTTTTCTTTGAGTAAAGCAGCACTAGGATTAATAAAGTTCTCAGAAAGATCCGGAACTTTTCTGATGATCCTTATGGCACAAAGAGCTGCCTAATTAAAGAAAAAAAGTTAATGAATGAAAAGTTCATTATAATGTATTAGTCAATGGATACCAAAAAAATGACAGAAGTAAAGTGAAGATTCGTGAAAATGATACATAGCTCTTAAATTACAGCCTTCATTTGGTTAAAACATGCACGTTAAACTAGCATCTAAAGTTTTCCAACATTTCCACCACTGAACCCCACAACAGACACCTGTTATCTGAACATATACAATGACAATACGAGAAAACACTCACTTTCTTGCGTATATTTGGATCCCGAAATTGAAGTAATCTTTCAACTTCAGGGGCGAGATCACGAGCCATTTCTGCTGAACAAATATTTCCTAAAGCGCAGAGAGCAAGCCCCACAATGTATTGGTTCGTATGATTCAGATCTCTAGACTTGAGTCAAGGTTCTCACAAGGTGAATATAAAAATTTGTACGAAGCTGCAAGCAAAAAGTTCAATACTACTAGGGAATCAAATTCGAAAATTAACACCATAAAGGATACTGCTTCAACGAGTTGGTGACGAGCATTAATACTTCTTGCCTTTCATCAAGAAGCAACATTAATCCAAGATAACCAATCCTCTTCTCTGGAAATCCAGGAGAAGCAATTAACTTCAAACATTCCATCTGCCCAAAATGTGTGGGGTAACCAAGCATATGAATGAACATAAGCTTTGCTAGATCCCGGTGTCTATAGTCCTGGTCATTTTCATTAATCGAAGCACGGATCGCAGCACACTCTTTCCTCACAACAGCCCGTTCCTCAGCAGCGGTTTTACTCGCACGTATCGCCCGAATCATGTCGCTGCAACATAAAACGATGAATGCATTTATAGTTACATATTCTCAATTTATAAAGACTCGAAGCTTGATCAAGTCCTAAGACGATTCAATCATACAACATGCTAAGATGAAATGCAATCTCCAGAATCAGCCTATAAATTTACTGATAATCTCATTTCCGATTGAATTTTTGCCGACTACTAGAAGAATCAAAGCTACATTACGGATTTAGACACTAGAAAACGGAAGAAAATGGTTGGAAATCGGAGCAAAGTGATTGCTAACCTGAGACGCGTGCCGGAAGAGAACGGATTCATGATTTGTATCAACGCCGGAGCGGTACGAAGCTGATGAAATCAGATCGGAGACGATTAGCGCGAGAAAATGGATCAACAGATTTGAAGAATCATAGATCTAAGAAGCTCAATTTCCAGATCTGAGAGTTTTTTTCTTTCACTTGATCTCTTCCACTATCGATGAAAACATATGAACAAAGAAAGAGAGACGTCTGTGTTTTTTTTTTCTCTTCACTAAAAGAAAACGGAAAATTATTAACAGTTGCGGATTCTAACGGAATCATACAACACTTTAACGGTAACAGATCAAAAGCCTCTGATTGATTGAGAAGGTTTATTTTAGGTTTTTTCTTGGGCAACAATTTTTTTTGTAGTATAAATACGTGAGAGACAAAGAGACCTAGACAGAAAATTAGGGTTATAGAAAAAACCAAAGTGAGTCGCCGATGGATATAGATAGATGTCGAAATCTCTCCGTTGTAAAATCAAACATGAGTATGAATTTAACCATGAAGGGATATTTTTGATTCGTATACTCATGTTTGATTTTACAATAGATAGATATCGACGCCTATCTCTTGTTAAACAGAGTGATTATGTTAGTTATGTTCATGACACTGTGGTTTTATCTCTTGTTAGAGAAGAGAAAGTTTTTTGTCCTCGTACATAAGAGCGTTGTTCATTTGGATTCATATTCGAGACGAAGATATGGGTGACTAATACTTAAGATTTTGGTCAATTTAAATTACCAATCTAATTATTTGTTACCCATATCTCCATCTCCAATTTAATCTCTTAAAAGTCGTGGATAGATCATCGCGTGTCGGTTACATTAGAGCCTTGATCATATGGATTCACTTGAGATGAAGATTTGGATGACAAATACTTAAAACTTTGGTAAATTTAAATTACCAATTTAATTATCTGTCACCCAAATCTTCCTCTCAGGTTTAATCTTTTAAAAACCAAAAACCACGTTCCGTGGTCATGTGGCTACTTTGCTCTAATTTCATTGGATTTTTTTATAAGTCTACTCATATAATTTGTATATGATGCCTCTTGTTGCAAAAACAAAACCAGTAAGTATAAAGATATTATATTTTGGCTTTGTAGATCAGATCTCTTTGCTTCGTTTTGTAAGATTCACTTTTATCAACACCACTAATGATGAGGTTAGCAATTATCTCGGTAAAAATTTTGGCTTCAAAGTTCGAATAAATCAGTGTACCAAAGTTTTAGATTTTTTCGGTAACTCGAATTCTTCAACATTTGATCGTGGACTCTAAAATAATGGTAGTGTGTCCACGATTGATTATTCTTCGGTTGTTGGATCTGCTAAGATGTAGTTCTTGTGGAGAATGCAAGTTAAAGAGAATGGGAAGGTCATATGAGTTATTACTTTCTTAATCTATAGAAAAGCCCTTGGTAAAACTAAAAAAAAAAAACTTTCTTAACAAAAAATTGAGCCCATTTTCTTCACTAAATTTTTTGAAAATGGTTTTGGACCCATGGCAAATGCCTATGTTGCCATGGGGTAGAGACGGGCCTGGAGTTATCTAAGCCTTGCTCTTCTTTGCAGTTTCGAAAAGGAATCAATAAAGCTTGTGCTTAGGAAAAAGCTTTAGTCATAGGAGTTCTAGAAGAGCTATGAAACCAACTAAAGGATAAGAACGAAGAAATACTTACAATTCGGAAAGGCGGCAACAGCTGAAAGCAGAGCTGCATTGAAAAGATCACCATCAGCATTCAGACCATATATGTCCTATGAGAAATTTTTAACAGCAACAATGTTCATATAGACCTCACTTAGTTAAATTTCAAAGAGTAATAAACATAGATATAAGGAGCTCAATTTCCACATAGAGAGTGTTTTCTTCACTATAGGGTTCAATTTCCACGATAAGACTTTAACAGTAACAGCTCCAAAACCAAAAAAAATCACTAAAACTCAAAAGTCTCTGATTGATTCAAGAGGTTTTGTTTTAATTTTTTCCTTTTTGGCAACAGTTGTTTTGTATTTAATAGGGTAAATTTCTTTATTTAACATGACGAATACGTGAGAGGAGAGAGAAAGACCAAGAGAAAAAAATTAGGGTTAAACAAAAACCCTAGTGGGTCGCCAATGGATAGACGAGAAGAAGAGGCGGAAGATAAAGAAATAAGTATACAATCTAAAGAAGATGAGAGTTGTAGAAAGTTTCTCGTGATGATTCCTCTTGATCTGATTCATGAGATACTCTTGAGACTTCCTGCTAAATCCGTTGCAAAGTTCCGTTGCGTATCAAAGCTATGGTCATCCATAACCACTCGCCCAGATTTCATCAGGTCGTTCGTGAGTCAGTCTTCAACTCGGTTGTGTCTTTTCGTCTGCGTGAACACAAGGGACGAGCGTCTTTCCTGCTCAATCCCTCAACATGAAAATTCGGACAGATCATCTTATCCTCATGTGGAGCGTTATCGGAAAAATGCTCCAAAATTTGATTATCACCAACGGTACTCCGAATCGGTCCATGGCTTGATAGGTTTGGGAGATTTTTGTGGGAATATTGTAGTTTGGAATCCAACCATGAGACAACATGTTACCTTACCGAAACCCGAACCAAGAGTCCCATGTGTATGTAGCTGTTTAGGATACGATCCGGTTGAGGGCAAGTATAAAGTCTTGTGCATCTCAGGTTATAGATACCAAGATCCTCTTGTTTTTACTTTGGGACCTCAAGAATCATGGAGAGTGGCCCAAAATAGCCCTAAACATGTCCCTCGATGCACCTGGGTACTAATAAGTAAATGCATCAACGGGAATTTGTATTATGAAGCGAGTATACCTTTTGGAGTCAATGATAGTTTTGAAGTTGAAAAAGTCCTTATGAGCTTCGATGTGAGGTACGAAAAGTTCAACACAATAAAAAAACCAGCTGATGATTTACTTTGCGAATTTTTCCTCGACTACGAAGGAAAATTAGCATGGGTTTGCGCCGACGTCTCTTGTATAAGATTTTGGGTTTTGGAGGATGAAGAGAAACAAGAATGGTCGCTTAGAAAATTTCTTCTCCCTATTCCAAAATTTCCTCTACGTGACACGATCTGGGAAGTTTCTTGGGAGCTGAGAGGTATTACTCACGATACTGGTGAGTTTATTTTTACAGATGAAACAACATCTGAAGCAATTTATGTCTTATATTATGATCCAAAAAGAAACCGCGTAAGGAGGGTCAAATATGAAGGTATTGGAGGGGAAGAATTCTGGAAGCTTAATGATCATTACAATGTAAGAGAGGTCCGTTTGTTTCCTAATCACAGTGAGAGTCTAATGTCTTTGGAGGACGTTCTCTCTTAGCATATGATATTTCTTCCTCACATTCAGAATGAATATTATTACTTCATGTTTTTTAGTTACGTCGTGATCATGTTGCTATAATTTCATTGGTTCATTTTCTTTCAGTCTACTAATTTATATATGATACTCTTGTTGCAAAAACCAAACCAGTTTAAGTGCAAAGATAAAGAATTTCGGTTTTGTAGGTCATATACTGTACATCTTTGCTTCATTTTGTCTGGTTTAGTTTTTTTATAAACATCACTAGTCTGTTATGAACCTTTTTTTTTTACTAGTTTTTATGAATTATGCTTCCATGTTTTTACTCTTTTTATGCCATGAGACCATTTCTATGTGTATATATTCTTTCATCACTGATGAGATGAGCAATTCTCTTGTTAAGTAAGAAGTTGTAATAAATAACCTTAAAAACCGAGTAATTCATCATAGAAATGCACATAACTAATAATCAAATTCTTCAACCACAAAAATATAAAAAGAGTAGAGATGTTTGTCAAATGCGTTAATTCCGTATAATACAATTCTTCTAATAACAATTTTTTAAGAAAAGCCTAATCAAAAACAACGTCGCTATGGACAGGCCCGGCCCAGAGGGCAAGCCACTGAAACCATGGATTCGGGCCTCAAAATTTAAGGGCTTTTTAAACTAAAAATTTGTTAAGATTTTCTTTATATTCTAAAATCTATAGATATTTCTTTAGAGACAAAAAACTTGAAAAAAAATATACAAAAAACTCTCGTTTTCTCTCGAAACAAAGAAGCGGCGATGATGTCTGATACTTTTCGGATCTGAGATGGTTCTTCATCTGTTGTTAATGGTTGATCTCAAGGAAAGATCTCCGGTTGATTTCACGGTTATAGTGGAATTTGATTTTTCGGTTTTGAAAAGGGATCTCTTTCACAAGAGAGATTTGGTTCGATTGGAAAAAGGTAGATCTGTTGGGATCCTGTTTGATCAATCTACGAGCATTAGTGAGGGCTTCTCTGAAAAGGCACAAAGAGGTTTTAATCATCTTCAAAGGTTTTGGTTAGGATTCGGAGTTATGATCTTGATTTGCTTTGATTCACAAGACATGTCTAAGGAAAGGAAGGGTATCAATCTCGCAATCAAAGGTCTGAAGTGGATTAATGCTGTATTAAGAAGAGCCATCTTTGTCTTGGTTATGGCCACAAAATCCGGGTTTTTACGGTTGGAACGGATCGAGAGCTTATGTCTTAATTTCAGCGGATCTGTGATTTATTTGGTGAGATACTCTTACATCAAGGGTTTGGAGTATAAATCAGAGGTACGAATTGGAGGTTCTATTCATCACAACACATTCTCAAAGTTTCAGGGTACCAAAAGCTTTATTCTAAGTCAATTTCTCAGAGTTTTTGAGTTTATTTGGGTTTTTTGGTCTCCTGGGTTTGTATCTTTTCGGATTTGCTTCGGGTTAGGGAAAGAGATGACTCAAAGCGATTTGGTTAATCAGGGCAGCAACATGAGTAACACCATGAAGCTTAAGATCAAGGTTCCTCGTTTTGATAACACTTCTCTGATCGAGGGCTATTCGAAGACTCTCATCGGCAGATGTATGAATCCAGCAATGCAGGATATGAAATCCTTGCTGTTCATGTTGCCAAGGATTTGGAAATTAGAGGACAGAGTTGTCGGTGCTGACTTGGGTCAAGGTCGGTTTCAATTCGATTTTGACCATGAAGAGGACATCCAGGAGATCATGAAGGTGGAACCTTTCCATTTTGATCATTGGATGCTGTCTTTGGTTAGGTGGGAACCAGTGGTGGATCGAAGATACCCATTTCTCATCACTTTCTGGATTCGGGTCATGGGGGTGCCTCTACACTTCTGGGCGGATGAAACATTCCGGAGTATTGGTTCAGATCTAGGTGAGGTCCAAGCGGTAGACTTGGACATGGGAAGGGTACAGGTTAAGCTTGATGGGTTTAAACCATTGTGTTTTGAGGCGGCGGTGGAGTTTCACAGTGGTGAAGAGACGATGGTCTCGCTGAGGTATGAGAGACTTTTTGGTTTCTGCCGGAAATGTCACAGTCTTTGTCATGAACAGATGCGGTGTCCAGTTTTTGGGGATAAGGGAAAGCAGAATATTCACAAAGAGGATCCAAAGCGGGATAATAAGCTTCAAAGCTACAAAGGTGCTACCATTAATGGTCTCGTTCCTGGGAATTCTTCGGGTTCGAATGGAGCTGTCTCCGCAGAATCTTCCCAAGGACCATCTGCGGTTGAAAACAGGGCTGTAATTTATCAGGACAACTCGCACCGGTCTAAGCAGATTTCTGGTACCAAGGCTAAGAAGGGGAGAAGGAATCCATTTCTGGCTCCTATTCAAGCTTCAACAACCCAATTGGCGGTTCAAGTAACTGGTTTATCTTCGTTAAAAACGGACACGGTGGGGATGAGTCTCTCCGCTCATGAGAAGAAGATGCTAGAGGCTTTTCTAGTCTCTGATTCGGGGAAGACGGTGACAGATTCGGGTACTCTTGGTGCTAATATGGAAGGGCGTTCTAGTGACACAATCCCAAATAAGGTGGTGCGTAAGAATCTCTTTTCGGGTCCTGAAGAAGTTACTTTTAAGAGCAGGACAGAGAATACTCTCGGGTTGGCAGAACAACATGATCTTTTCTCGGATGATTTAAGTCAGTTGCTTGCTCAGGATTTTCCTCTCGTAGGAGAATCTTCTCTGAATTTTATGGATACCATAATGGAGGAGAAAGAAAGTGGTGTGGAGATAGCCCATGAGGAGGGAGAGTTTAAGGCAGAGAATGAAGAGGATATTAAAGGGGATCACGAAGGAGATAAAATTGAGGAAGTGGTCATTCCGGTCACTGAGAAGGATGCAAGTACAGTTTCTGTTTCGGATACTGTCCCAAAGGAACAAGAACATGAAGAGGAAAAAGAGGAAAACTCGCAGGGAGAAGATGATTTGGAAACGGATCAACCTGCAAAAAGAAAAGCGGTTAAGAACAAAGGGATTTTGGTAGGAATTAGCTCCAGGAAGAGGAATTATTTGGCATCACCTCGCAAACGATCGGTTCCAAAAACTGGTGGCCCGACGGTGGGTTCTGGATCTCTTCAAGGGGAGAAACCTCCTATTAAACATTGATTGAATTAATGTCTCTATCAGTTTGGATGGGGAAGTGGTCGAATTTCAATTTCTTAGAAATAAGTTCTTTACAAGAACATGATTTTCTGTATTCTTTCAGTTGTCATTGTTGTTCGGTAAATCCGAATTATGTCGGTACGGTCTCTTTTTATTTTCTCCTTGCAAGATGTAACTTACAGATTCTTTATGTGTTTCATATAATCTGTGAGCTCAAAGTAATAAAGGAAAGTTATTTTTTCCATCGGTTTATGTCACATGTTCTGTTCTTAAAATTTTTGGTTTACTTTTGGTTTTCTTATTTATCAAACCAAAGGAATCTCAGCGGTTATATGTTTGGTTTTGTTATGAAATTTCTGTTCAATAACGAAGGAGTTAGGTCCACTTTAAATATTACATGGCATATGATTGTTACATATAAGTTAAATTCGGTTTGGTTTAATGAGGTAATATACGAGAAGGAATTTTCAAATGGCTTACGCAAGGCTCTTGTATTTAATGCTGGGTTGGGTCAAATGGAAAAAAAACACAAATTTGAAATCCAAATCGATTTTGAATACTCTTCCGGTGATAGGAGAAGGAGGACGTTGAGTACTCTTCCATGGGTTATTGTGGGTGGTCGGAATATTTCTAAAAGTTATGATGTGGGTCGGTTGATTTTGGATTTTGAGTGTATGGAGTTGAGTTTCATTGGTTGTAACAAACGTTTTTACAATAGTTTGATTTCGGGTTTTTCATGGTTGGATGTGGATACTTTGAGGGTAAGAATATCAATGGTCAATTGTAATTTGGTTTCTCTAAGAAATAATCAAGGGAATGAAGGGCATAACCCGACGCACCATGGCACGGTGAAGAGATTAACAGGTGGACGCAACCCACTTAATCGAAAGGTTTATAATAAATGAAAGTTTTAAGTTGGAATTGTCAAGGGTTAGGAAATAAGGCAACAATTGGGTATCTTCGGGATTTGTGGAAGCAACATAGGCCGGATTTTTTATTTCTGTCGGAAACTAAACAATCCTCTTCTTTTATGGAAAAATTTGTAGGTCACTTTGGTTATAAAAATTTTAAAACGGTGGATCCTATTGGTTGTAGTGGCGGTTTAGCCCTTTTTTTTAATAATGATTATCATGTTTCGGTTTTATTTGCAAGTAATCGTGTGATCGATATTGAAGCAAACTATAAGGGCAAAGTAATTTATCTCACTTTTGTTTATGGAGACCCGGTTCCTAGTAAGCGGGAACAAGTGTGGGAGCGGTTAACTAGAACCGGTTTATCTCGGGATTCTCCGTGGTTTTTAATTGGTGATTTTAACGAATTAACTGGAAATCATGAAAAGCGAGGGGGTAAATTAAGACACGCGTCTTCTTTTATTCCGTTTAATCTAATGATTCAAAATTGTGGTCTTCTGGAATTTCCTTTTATTGGCGATTGGTTGTCTTGGCGGGGGTGGCGGGATAAAAAACCAATACGATGTCGTCTAGATCGGGCTCTAGCGAATGAAGATTGGCATGAATTATTCTGCAACACATTTGTAGAATATTTACAAATGGTAGCTTCTGACCATTCACCGGTCTTAGCTACGATTGCGGATAAGATGCCACGCGGGAAACATAGTTTCAGGTTTGACAAAAGGTGGATAGGGAAAGAAGGTTTACTGGAGACAATTGCAGATGGTTGGAATTTTGATTCTGAACCAGGCGACGGGAAATTTGTGGAAAAGTTGACTAATTGTCGGCGAGCTATTTCGCAATGGCGACGAGAGTTGACTCCCTATGGTCGGCAAACGATTGAAGATTTAAAATCGGAACTATATGCGGCGCAAAGAGACGATAGGCGGTCACGGGAAGAAATTACGGATTTAACATTACGGCTGAAGGAGGCCTATCGGGACGAGGAATTGTACTGGCACCAGAAAAGCAGAAGCTCTTTGATGCAATTAGGGGACAATAACTCAAAATATTTTCACGCTTTAACGAAGCAGAGACGGGCGAGGAATCGAATCACGGGTTTACATGATGAGAATGGGACATGGTTAACGGAAGATAAAGAGGTTCAAAATATAGTGGTTTCCTACTTTAAGACTTTATTCACTACAACAAAACCTGAGATTTTTGAGGATGCATTGGAAGAAGTACAAAGTCTGATCACGGATCAGAATAATGATTTTTTAATAGCCCCGACAACAGAGGGTGAAGTGAGAGCAGCACTTTTTATGATGCACCCGGAGAAGGCACCGGGGCCAGATGGTATGACGGCTTTGTTTTTTCAGAAAGCATGGGCTACCATTAAAGTAGATCTTTTATGTTTGGTTAATTCTTTTTTCGAGGATGGGAATTTTGACAAACGGTTAAATACGACAAATATTTGTCTTATTCCAAAAACGGAAAGACCGACTCGGATGACGGAACTACGACCTATTAGTCTTTGCAATGTTGGTTACAAGATTATATCAAAGATTCTTTGCCAAAGACTAAAGACAGTACTACCAAAACTGATCTCGGAAACACAATCAGCTTTTGTAGAAGGACGGTTAATTTCGGATAACATTCTTATTGCACAAGAGATGTTCCATGGGTTACGAACTAACCCATCATGTAAAGGAAAATTCATGGCAATTAAAACTGACATGAGTAAGGCTTATGATAGAGTGGAATGGATGTTCGTTGAAAAAGTTTTAACCAAACTGGGGTTTTGTGAAAAATGGATTAGTTGGATAATGTGGTGTATCAGTACTGTCCAATATAGGGTTCTTCTTAATGGACAACCTCGAGGACTAATAGTACCAGAGAGGGGTTTACGGCAAGGAGATCCGCTGTCTCCTTATCTATTTATTCTTTGTACTGAAGTATTAATTGCGAACATACGGAAAGCAGAACGGGATAAATTAATTACGGGTATCAAGGTGGCAACTGCAAGCCCATCGGTTTCTCACCTGCTTTTTGCGGATGATAGTCTATTTTTTTGTAAGGCTAACAAGGATCAGTGTGGGGTAATCTTGGGGATCTTAAAGCAATATGAAGCGGTCTCGGGACAACAAATAAATTATTCCAAATCTTCGATCCAGTTTGGGTATAAGGTAGATGACGGTGTGAAGGAAGATATCAAATCTACCTTAGGTATCTCTAATATTGGTGGTATGGGTTCATATCTTGGGTTGCCAGAAAGTCTCGGTGGTTCAAAAACAAAAATTTTCTCTTTTGTTAGAGACAGGTTACAGACAAGGATTAACGGATGGTCGGCAAAATTTTTATCAAAAGGTGGGAAAGAAGTGATGATTAAATCGGTAGCTGCGGCATTACCAACTTATGTTATGTCGTGCTTCAGACTACCGAAAACAATCACTTCTAAACTCACTAGTGCGGTTGCTAATTTCTGGTGGAGCTCGAATGGTGCCTCCAGAGGTATGCATTGGATGGCTTGGGATAAATTATGTATTAATAAATCGGAAGGAGGGATAGGATTTCGAAACGTCGATGATTTTAATTCGGCCTTACTTGCAAAACAGTTGTGGCGGTTGATCACGGTTCCGGATTCTCTCTTTGCGAGGGTTTTTAAAGGGCGGTATTACAGGAAATCCAATCCTTTGGAAAATATAAAGTCATATTCCCCATCGTATGGGTGGCGGAGTATATGCTCAGCTAGATCTCTGGTAAATAAAGGACTTATTAAAAGAGTCGGATCTGGGAATTCCATCTCAGTTTGGGAGGATCCGTGGATTCCAGCTCAATTCCCGAGACCAGCAAAAAGTAATGGATCTATTAATGACCCATCTTTAAAAGTTAACATGCTTATAGATAGTCGATCTAATTTTTGGGACATTGATCTCCTCAAAGCGGTCTTTGACCAGGAAGATGTCGAGTTAATAAGTGCCCTACCGGTGGGTGCGCCAACCAAGGAGGACACCTTGGGTTGGCATTTTACAAAATCCGGCAAATATTCAGTTAAGTCGGGGTATCATACCGCACGGTTGGATAAGTTGGAAACCAACTCATCTTTCATTGGGCCAGATTTCAATAAGCTAAAGGCTCATACTTGGAAAGTACAGTGTCCACCTAGGATACGTCATTTTTTATGGCAAATCTTAACGGGTTGTGTACCGGTTACAGAGAACTTACGAAAAAGAGGAATTGATTGTGACACTGGTTGTGCTAGATGTGGTGCACTAGAGGAAACAGTCAATCACACACTCTTTCAGTGCCATCCTGCAAGACAGGTTTGGGCACTTTCTCAGATTCCTACGGTTATGGGGACTTTTCCCACAGATTCTATTTATGCAAACTTGGATCATTTATTTTGGAGAATACCATCGGAGTTTGATTCTATAGCTTTTCCTTGGATTATTTGGTATATTTGGAAAGCACGGAATAAAAAATTGTTTGAAAATGTGGATAACGATCCGTTAGAGGTTTTACGGTTAGCGGAAAGAGAGGCACAATTGTGGCACTCAGCTCAAGTGGAGCTTCATACTGAAACTCAGGCTTCAGTGGAATTTCCAAATCGGCCTCAAACGAGGGGGGTGTCCCTAGATTCGGATTTTACAGGATACCGTTGTTTTGTGGATGGATCCTGGAAAGACAGCGACAAGTTTTCCGGGATAGGGTGGTTTTGTACACCATCAAACGGTGAGCCATCAACAATGGGAGCTGCCAACCTCCGTAGAAGCCTATCTCCGCTACATGCCGAATTCGAGGCCCTCCTTTGGGCGATGAAGTGTATGATTGGTGCAGATAATCAAGAGGTAGCATTCCTTACAGACTGTTCTGACCTGGTGAAGATGGTGTCTTCCCCAACCGAATGGCCGGCCTTCTCAGTGTATCTGGAGGAATTTCAGAGCGACAAAGAAGAGTTCTCTACCTTCTCTTTATCTTTAATTTCTCGTTGTGCAAATGCAAAAGCGGATAATCTGGCACGAAAAATTCGTACGGAACCGCTTCATATCACTTATGTAAACAACATTCCACAAGAATGGCTCTTTTGAGTAATATTTAATTACAGATGACAAAAAAAAAAAAAAGATATTTCTTTAGAGCCTTTTAATAGAAAAAACTGTGGGCTTTTAAATACAAACTAATTACTATCTTTAATTATAAAAATTATAATTTAATAAAATATGTTTATCTTGACATTAGAAACACTTTTTTTGCATAAAATATATATTTAAAAAAAAAAAAAAACCTTTTTCATTAAGTGTAATGTCTTGGCTTTGATTTTTAATTTGTTATGAAGAAATTTGTCAAAACATAAATG